CATTGGCCAGTCTAGATATGAATTCCTTTTTCTGAAAGAGGTTTTCAGATGGAGATGGTCTTTCTCTGCTCCATCAGTTTGAGATCCTTTCACTTGGTAATGAACCTTGGACCTTGGGTGTGCAAGGTGGGTGTCCTGCAATTGTGGCCTTTCTTCCTTTCAGAGGCAAAGTTTTACAGGACACTGAAGGGCCCAAAACTCGCTAATAACCCTCCCTTCCAAGCTTGGCTTGCCTAAAACGAGCTAGCTTACATTAACCAATCGTGTAAAATAATAGGATTCAAAATAAAAAGAGTATTATCTGATCCCCCTTTTCTTCCAAGGCTGCCAAAAGATTTGGCATGTTTCTCTTTTCTGTATAGGAGCTACAGCTGAGAGTGCTGAAATGGGACTGTCTCCTTTGCAAGAGGAATTGGAAGACACTGGGGCTCCTGCAGAAAGTAAGTTTGGGGGGGGGCTCAGAAGCACAGGGCTTGGGGCTAGTCTGGTGTGGTGTCGGAATTTCGGAGGTGAGCTAAACCGGGGCTTTTCAACCAGTGGTAGGCCTACCAGCGGTGGTATATTGGCACCTGGCAGGTGGTACGCGACCCTGCCTAGCCTAGACAAGAGTAGCGGGGCAGGGAACGAGCTAAAGCGTGAGAGAGTCCTCAGGAGCTGCTGGGCTGCCGGGCCAAGACAAAGGCCCCAGGATCGGCGCTTCCGGCACATCCGGGAGAGGTAGAAGGAGGAGGGGGCAACAGAGACAGGAGAGGCTATAAAAGGAGGCAGTTTTGGTTGGAGAGGTAGAGAAAAAAAAAGACTCCAGAGAAAGAGACAGAAAAGGTTTTTGTTAGAGAAGCGGTAAGGAGAAAGAGGGGGGGGGGGAACGCTTTCTGGGAGAAGTGTGTGTGTGAGAGAGAGAGAGCAAGGGTGAAAGGGTGAAAGAAAAAAGGAAAAAAGTCAGGGGGAGAAGGGAAAAAGAAAAGGCACTGACTTCCGACTTTCTCTGGTGTAGTAGAAGGAAAGCATTAATAATGAACCTCAACTTTGTACTTTTCCAAACTAGCCATTTCTATAACAACAAATGAATCTAAGAGTAAAACCCAAAATCCTTTTTTTTTTTTTTTTAGTCATCAAGTTTTTGACCCCTTGCTAAGCCACTGGTGGTACTCAAATATTGTCATGTCCTAAAAGGCTGAAAAGGCTGAAAAGCCCCGAGCTAAACCATCCACAGCTCCCTAGATCAGGGCTTTTCAACCTTCTCAGCCTTTGTACCACTTTTAGAATATGGCAACATCCAAGTACTACCGGTTGCCTAGCAAGGTGTCAAAAACTTGATGACTGTTGTAGTCCTCGACTTACAACAGTTTGCTTAGTGACTGTTCGAAGTTACAATGGCACTGAAAAAAGTGCCCCCCAAGGCACAGCTGAGCAAGACACCCGCCTGCCCGCCTGGTGGCGCTCTTCCTCCTGTCCGAGGTTTTCATTGTTGTGAGCGTTTCTGTTGAGGATTGGCAGTGGGGGTGGGGGGGGTGTTTGGTTTTTATTCCCCTGTCTGCTGGGTGGTTGCAGCAGGTTTTGGTCACTTCACATGACCCTGGGACACAGTGGCCGTCATAAATATGAATCAGTTGCCAAGCATCTGAATGTAAATCACAAGACCCTGGAGATGCTGCAACATCCCAGCTGATCGGCGCTTCTTCAGGGCTCAGCAAAAGCGCCAGGATCAGTGTTGAGCTCCAGCTGGAGCCTGGCGCTGATCCTGGCGCTTCCGCTGATCCCTGACAGCCCTGCAGCTCCAGCCATCTCTCTCAGGCTTGTGCGATGCTGCCACCGGTTCAGCTCATTCCCCTCCCCCACTACCACTTTTCTAGGATGGTCGCGTACCACCTGCCAGGTACCAATGTACCACAGGTGGTACCCATACCACTGGTTGAAAAGCCCTGCCCTAGATTGCCCCCCTTGCCCCCCTCTTTTAGCCTCAGGAGGGAGATAATAGTTCTCTATCTTATAAATGCTAACTAATACATGATTTTTGACAGTGCCTCTGCTTATTAGCAATAGGAATAGCCCTTAGACTTATATACCACTTCACAGTGCTCTACAGCCCTCTCTAAGCGGTTTACAGAGCGGGCATGTTGCCCCCCCCCCAATCTGGGTCCTCATTTTACCCACCTCAGAAGGATGGAAAGCTGAGTCAACCTTGAGCCGGTGAGGATCGAACTGCCGGCAGTCGGCAGCATTAGCCTGCAATGCTGCCTTCTAAACACTGCGCCCCCACAGGGCTCTTTTTTTAGAATTACAATTCACTCTGCCTCGCCCGTTTATAGGTCCCACGGCTGCACTGCGGGACTTCATTGTCTCACAGCTCAACCAGGAGTTAACCCAGCTGCGCCTTTCCGTCGACCAGCGTCTAAAAGCCACAGAGGACCAGTTTAACGCCAAGCTGAACCAGCTGGAGAAAGGTTCTGCTGCCAGCAAGGGGGCTGCCAAGGGCAAGAAGAAGTAAGGAGATTAGAAAGGCTGGGGCGCAAGAGGGCCATTTCCTGTCCCAGGGTCATTCCTTTATTGCTGGAGCTTCTGCAGGAAGGGGTCACCGCAAGACCAAGACAGTTCACAGGGAATGACGGTTGAAACACGGGGGGGGGGGGGAACAAATGGATTTCTAAAAGGCTTTTGAAAATGTGATAAGGGTTTACAGAAAATCTCTTCTTGAGATGGTAAGGTCGTATAGTTAGTAGCAGGAACTGTTGCATAAAGCACCTGATATTAGGAGATTAAAGTGTGGTTAAAATATTGTCTACTGTTTATTCATTTTTTTTCTAGGTCAAAAGTAGCAGCATTATTAAGGTCACAGGCCAATCTGAGACCGAATACAGGTAGTCCTCGACTTATGTCCCCAAAATTGCTGTTGCTAAGCAAGGCAGTTGTTAAGTGAGCTTTGCCCCATTTTATGACCATTTTGTGCCACAATTATTAAGCAAATTTGGCTTTCCCCCACTGGCTTTGCTTGTTGGAAGCCAGCTGAGGTTACAAAGGGTGATCCCGTGATCCCAGGATGCTGCACCCGTCAGAAATACACGCCATTTGGCAAGCGTCTGAATTCTGATCGTGTAACTATGAGCATGCTGCAGTGGTCGTTAAGTGTGAAAAACAGTAAGTCATTTTTTTCAGCGCCGTTGCAACTTTGGAATGAACTGCCAAAGAACAGGCTTTATTGAAACCAAATTAATTGAGTCATTCCAATATGATTGGTTCCCATATTTAATTAGAGAAAAAAAAAACCTAGAGCAGTGATGGCGAACCTTTTAGAGCAGTAGTTCTCAACCTGTGGGTTGGGACCCCATTTGGGGTCGAACGACCATTTCACGGGGGTCGCCAAACAACGCAGTCCGCCATTTTTTCCCTCCTTTTCCTTAGCGGTGCTACTCCCTTTTATTCTATTGGCTTTTGAAAGCCAATAGAATAGACTCTCTTGAATAGAGTCTAATTCTATTGGCTTTCAAAAGCCAATAGGAATTGTCCAGGCTGTCTCTGCCCTGCTGAGCCCGCCAAAAGTCCCATTCTGCAAACGGTGCTGCACCAGTTGAGTAGTCCTCGACTTACGACCGGTTGAGTAGTCCTCAACTTACGACCGGTTGGGGGTCGCGACATTAAAAAGGTTGAGAACCACTGTTTTAGAGACTGAGTGCCCAAACTGCAACCCAAAACCCACTTATTTATTACCGGGTGCCAGGTAGGCATGGCCCACTGGGTAGGCGTGGCTACGGTGGTCATGGCAGACTGGGTGGGTGTGGCCAAGGTGGGCGTGGTCACCTCGATGTTGCTCATGGGGAGGGACGCCTGTGGAGTCCAGGCAGGGTTGGGGGAGATCCAGGGGGTCTCTGGCAGGTGGGGCGGTGGGCAGGAGGCTCGTCTTGCCGGGTGAGGCGAGGCGGGGGTGTGCCATTGTCGCAGGGCAAGGTGAGGCAGGGGCCATGGCGGCTGCTGCCTTACACCATCGCCCCCCGCACACAGAGGCCAGTGAGCGCATGGGGGCCGACAGTGTCCGTCAGCAGCCACAGCCTGCCGGCCCCTTGACCGGCGCACTCTGGGGCTCTGCAGCCTGCCGCCAGCAGTTCAGAGAAGCCACCTCGGAGTTGGATGGCTGGCCGACAGCTGAGGAGGCGATGCGGTGGGTTGTGCCCAGGAAAAGGATGGATGTGAGGCCAGGAGGGATGGGACAGGGGAGGGAAACCAGCCATGCTGGGATGGATCCAGCCATGTGGGACCTCAGCCAGTTAATGGACTGCTGGTTGAAGAGGACGGTTGCCACCTCCGGGGCATGGCACGCGTGCCCACAGAGAGGGCTCTGTGTGCCGCCTCTGGCACGCGTGCCATAAGTTCGCCACCACTGTCCTAGAGTCAGTTTGGTGTAGTGGTGTAAAATGCTGGATTAGAAAGGATCAGGTCTTGAATTCTAATCTCCTTTCAGCCACGAAAGCTGGCTGGGTGACTTTTGGGTGTCACACACTCTTAACCCAATCCCACAATGTGGTTCTTGTGAAGAAAACAGGAAGTGAGAGCGTTATCTGTACGCTACCTTGCATTGCACAAGATAGACGGGATATAAATATGTTCAGATTTTCAAGTTTCTGGGGAGCTTGGTGCCTTATAGGCTGAGCACTCTTGGCCAACATAATGCAGCCTGGCTGAGCAAAAAGAAATATTTCTTTCACTAGATTCTGCCTGGAATCTGGCTGTGCCATCTAGACGCCAAAGGATTTGGTATGGTTGTTTTTGGCAAACTTCCCCTCGTCCTATCCCAGTTCCACCCACTCTGTCATTGTGTGCCTAAGCATTTTCCCTGGGATATGCCAAATTCGAGATGCATCGTTCCCTCTCCTTTGGGCAGTGCTTGAGAATTTCTTGGGGCAGAACACAATGGGGTTAAATGAGTGTGTCTGGCAGGACCCCTGTTTCAGCAGGAAATTGTTATGAATTCCCGTTCCAAGTCTTGCAATGAAAGGGAAGCCCAAGTCCGAAGAGAGCTGAGGTCTCATTTCAACTTTTATTATAATCTGGACAATCGTAAGGTGGGGGAAGCAATTCAGCAGGAAGGTCACGTCCACTACCTGACTGCAGCAAAAAGGACAGATGCAAAACCTGATTCCACAACTGATCTCCAGTACTGACCAAATCCAGAGACATGGACTGTTCCTTCAGCCGAAGGGACTGCACTGACAGATGAGACCCCCTGAACAGTCCTTACAGTGCAAAGGGCTATGTCGGGCTCCGGGTCTTGCAGCAGAAGCATGTTGCTCTCCCCAGCCCCTCCCTTTGGACCAACACCATTGGTGTGATGTTAGCCCTACCCAGGTCCTTCCTGGTATAATCAGAGAAACTTGTCCCATCAGTCCAAAATTCAAGGTTCCCCAAATTCCAGCTCCCTAGAACGTCAGTCTCTTCCATGCACGAGGAACCCAAAGGACGACTCTAACCATTGGCTGTCCACCCCTAATGGGGCAAGGATAAGGTTCAGTTCTGTGTACACCCCCTGCCCCTCAGCATCCAGGGATCACCCGTGCTGTTTCACGGGGACTAGAAGGCTTTTCTCTAGTTGAGAGGATCTTCCACCGCTGACGACGGGGCCTCCTCTCCTTCTGTGCCTAACAAGACCAACTGGATGGCCTTTGGCACGTTTTCAAAGAGGGCAGCCCGGTTCTGTTGCTCGCCCTTCTTGACCCAGTGCCCGTAGATTCGGAAGGCACAAGCGTCGATCAGCTTGCGCACTCCCTTGAGGGCATAGGGGTCGCACAGCAGCAGCTCCTTTGTGACCGGGCGCACCCGCCGATAGCTGGAGTAGATGCGGATGGAAGCCCGTACCGTCCACGCAATGACCTGCCGGGGCAAAAAAAAAAAGAAAGACATCACACCAGGCCACAAGGCGAAGAGCAGAAGGCAAGGAGGCTCGTAAGTAAGCATTATCTTAGGCCTCTCCTCCCACAGGGTCACAAAAGAGGAAGTGGGACAGGCCATCGATCCACCGAGGGCAGCACTGACGGTGCCGACTAGCAGTACACGTAGTCCTCAACGTAAAACAGTTCATTGAGTGACCGTCTGAAATTACAACATCACTGGAAAAAAAGGGACTTGTGATTGTTTTTTCACACTTATGACCGCTGCAGCATCCCCACGGTCATGGGATCAAAATTTGGACGCCTGGCAACTGGTTCATATTTATGACGGTTGCAGCGTCCCGGCATCATGTGGTGATCACCTTTTGCGATCTCTTGACAAGCAAAGTCAAGGGGGAAGCCAGATTCACTTAACAACCCCGGGTCACTCGCTTAACAACTTCAGGGATTCGCTGAACAAGAAACCTGGTAAGAAACGTTGTAAGAATGGGGCAAAATTCAACAACTGTGTCACCTAGCAACAGAAATTTGGGGCTCAACTGTGGTCGTACGTTGGAGACTACTTGTAGTGCTTCAGGGTATTCGTAGAGCAGGGATGTCAAACTCAATTTCATTGAGGGCTGCATCAGCATTGCGGTTGCCCTCAGGGGGTGCAGGGGTGTGTGGCCAGGGTGAGTGCGGCCTACTGGGTGGGTGCAGCCTACTGGGTGGGCGTGGATGCAGTGGGTGTGGCCTACTGGGCATGGCCAGCTCTACATCGTTCGCGTCAAGGGTGCCTGTGGGGGCCTGGGCAGGAGTGAGACAGATCTGAGGGTCTCTGGCAGAAGGGGGTAGGACCAGGGCAAGCGCCAAGGCATGGTCCATTTCTTCATTCTTCACAAAGGGTGAACACCTCCCCAGCATGCACCCAGGGGGTGGGGCCGGCACGGCAGGGGCTTGTCCCTCGCTGTTTCCAGACGGCCTTGTGGAGTTAAGACTGAATGCGCTTCAGCATAGATGATGACCACAAAATTGTACATTGGCTCCCGGCCGGCCTGGGCCAGGACCAAGGCAGTGGGGGCCATCCCCTCACTGTTTCCAGGATGGCTTCACGGGCCAGATGAAACCACTTTGCGGGCCGCGTCCGGCTCCCGGGCCATGTCTGTCGTACAGGCTTCACTCTTCTGCAGTGATTCTCAGCAAGTTGAAGACGTGTGGACTTCAAGTCCCACAATCCCCCACCCAGCATACATAGATCTTCAACCCTGCTAAGGTTGAGAAACGCTGCTTTAGAGAGACATCAAGCTTCAGGCCTGGAACCTTTTGCATCCAAAGCATGTACTTTTAACATTTAAAAAACCACCAAAATAAGGCCTAGAATAAAATTGTAACTAAAACCTATACACCAGTGTTCCTCAACCTTCACAACTTTAAGATTTGTGGATTTCAACTCCCACCATACTCCAGCCACCGAACTCTGAGGAAAAAAAAAAAAAACCCTCATGAAGTGAACCATTTTGAAACTGTCTCCTACGCCCAGAAATGTTAGAAGCAGGCATCCTTTCGACCCAACCGTTTTATTTTGAGCCTCAGAACATCTGTTTTGCAGTTAAGACAGTATATATACACTGACACGTACCCTTTGGAGAATGAAGAATGGAGTAAAAATGACTTAAATGAATAAATATTTTTTATGTATTTGTAATTAAATAAGAATATGCCACTTACCCTGAATTTATGGAAGGGGCTGAAATGTCGCTGCTCCTTTCCGTAGCGCTGGAAAAAGGGGTGCTGCAATGCCTGCTCAGCACTCAACCTTTCGACAGGATCTACCTTCAGCAGTCGGGAGATCTGCCAAAAAAAAAGGGGGGGGGGAGTTCCCCAAGAAGCGTTCTGTGAACAAAGGCCTGCTAATGGATTCTGATATGGAAAGGGAGGAATTGAGACACAATGTGACGATTTAAACGTATATTTATATGATTTTTTCCCCCTCCCTGTTCTGTATGTCAGGCTAGGCAGGCCAGCCTGAGCTACAAAAAAACCCCACAGATAGTCCTTGACTTATGACTTATGAGGATCATGAGTCATGACAGTCATAAAGTGGGTCACCACATAACTGGACCCAGTTTTATGGCATTTTTGCAGCAGTCCTAAAGTGACCGCTATGGTCATAAAGCAAAACCCAGTTCACTATGACCGTTTTTTGCCAAAAACTAGAAGTAAAAACTTCCAACACTGGAAGTTTTTAAGAAGAGACTGGACAGCCATTTGTCCAAAATGGTATAGGGTTTCCTGCCTGGGCAGGGGGTTGGACTAGATGACCTCCAAGGTCCCTTCCAACGTTGTTGTTATTATTAAGTTATTATTAAATACTGGTTTTCAGCAAAAACGTTGAAACGCACAGTCATGTGACCATGGGACAATGCAAGTGGCCGTAAATGTGGCTGGTTACCAAGTGCCTGAATGCAGTCACATGACCATGGGAGGTGGGGGTGGCTAGGCTCTAAATACCTTTGGGGGTCTGTCATAACTTCAAATGGTCACTAAGTGACCAATCACAAGCCGAGGATTACCCTGTAGAGTTTGGGATGGCAAGGTCCCCTCCAGTTTAACTAGCTCCAGCCGGGAGGAGCTGCAGCCTTTTCATTTCTCTCCCTTACCACACGTGACCAGGAAGCTGCTGCCTTCTTACCAAATCCTTGACTGTGTCGGATCGGTCATCCCACTCTGGAGAACCAAACTGATACTGGCCTTCCATGATCATCCGAAGCATCAACATCTGTTTGCGGTGCCAGAAAGGGGGAGAGCCAGCCAGGAGGGTGAAAAAGATGACGCCACAGGCCCAGCTGCAGGGAGGGAGGAGGTCAACAGTAGAGAATATTTGCAGCACAGGGTGGAACCGTGGAGTCCTTGGCGCTCTCTGAGCTTAGTTGTTTCCTTGCAGACGTTTCCTTACCCAACTAATCATCAATACAATCAAGCAGTAAACAGTATCCTAATCAAGGAACCATCAAGGACACTCCCAACAACACTGACAGGGCAAGCCACTTGTATATAAACAACAGGCTCCCTCCCTTCTAGCACTGATGACGTTACCTAGTTGGGCAATGAAACGTCTGCAAGAAAACAACCAAGTTCAGAGAGTACCAAGGACCCCAAAAGAGATTATTTTCCAATGCCCCACCCCACCTTGTCTGGCAGGAGGGGACAACTGTAGGCCAGGATATCTGGCGCTCAGCAGGTTCAGGAAAGTTCCCTGACCCCCCCCCCCCGACCCCTTTCTGCAGAAGCCCCACTCCATTCCCTAATTATAACTTACAGGTCCACCTCCTTCCCGTAACCAGGATGAGTCTCATCCATGGAACATTTCAGTATCTCTGGTGCCAGATAGCCTGGGGTACCGCATAACTCTGCAGGGAACAGTCACAGACTCAGAGAACGTCAGAGAAATGCAAATTGGGAGAACTTTTCAGAACGAGAAAAGTGGATGCATAGCTTACGAAAAGACGCCATAGAAACAATGAGCTGAGCTTTCCTGCCCACCTCGTGGCTTAACAGGGGGGCTGCTCCATGGGGCAGGGCAAATGGAAAGGCCCGCCTTCGCTGTCTCCACCGCTCCAAAGATGGGCCACCAGATGGGACCCCCGCCTCACCTCGCAGTTTCTCCCCTGGCTCCAAATGGCAGGAGAAGCCAAAATCGGAGAGTTTGATGCTAAGATCATCGTTCATGAGGATGTTCTCCGGTTTGAGGTCTCGATGGATGATGCTATTCTCATGAAGGTAGCTCACGGCCTCTAGGAGGGCTCGCATGACGCATCTGAAAAATGGCAGAGGGAGGCCCAGTTGTTGCGAGGACCAGGCCTTGGGGCCCTCCACAAAACAGCGAGGAGGGCTCATTAAGTTATGTGGTAAGAACTTTCCACTACTCTAGGGCCAGCAGAAGACCTTCGGTTTTTACCTGGTCTCCTTTTCACTGAGGGTTACCTTCTCTGTAAGGTAGTCAAAAAGTTCACCTCGCCTCATCCTGCAGGAAAAACATAAATTAGAGACTAGGAGCAGAATCAGATTACTTCTGCTATGCTGTCTTTCTCGTATTTATTTAGCGTATGGCTCTCTTTTTCATAATTACAATTTAATATAGGATTATACTGGCGTCTTTTAAGATTTGTGTACTTCAACTCCCAGAATTCCCCAGCCACCATATCATTTTATTTCACAGAGTGAATCAACCCCTTGATTCCCCCTCACCACCATTTTCAAAGGTTTGTTACTTACAAATCAAAGACTAGGAACATGAAGGTGGATGTCTCGTAGGAATCTATAAGAGTAACTGGAGAAAAAAAAGAAGAATTGTCCCTTATATCGTAATTGCTTCAGTATTTATAAAATGGCACTTGTGTCTAATGGCAGAATACAAATGTGGAGCCCTCAATTAATGACCCACAAGCCCAGAATTTTGGTTGCAAGTCACTGAGGCCATTAAGGGGGTAACCACGTGACTTGATTTGATGTTATGACTGCTTACATAATCTCTTTACAAGTCACTGTGGGCATCAAGCAAATCACATGGTCATTAAGGGAATCCATTCTCCCAAATAGGTGGTTTTTACTGGAAACCAACAAAAATGCTAGAAAAGGCAAAAAAAAAAAAAAAAAGATACTCCAAATGGTGGTCACGTGACTGGGATGCTGCAACTGGTCATAAATGCAGATTGTCAAGGGCCCAAAATGCAATCACAGGACCGAAACGGGTTGGCACAGCAGCTTCCCCAAGACCAACCTTTCCTTTTGATTAGTGCCAATCATTTTATTTCTTTAACTGATAAATTTATACCCATATTTTCCCATCCAACAGTGCTCGGTTAATAAAAATATATAAGGCAGCAACAACTTTTTCAAAAGAAAGCTGTATAAATAGAACCCATGAATCGACCTCTTAGAACCACCACGATCTCTTTGTAGGATGCTACCCGTGATTACACCAACAATTTAAGGAGTCAGCAGAATCCGTTGATACAATGCAGAACTGTGCAGGAGCAGACCGCTCAATAATTGTGATTTTAGAAACAGCAAGGAACAAGCACAAAGATTAGCAATGAGTTATTTCAGTGTTTCCCAAACTTGACAATTTTAAGGCATGTGGACTTCAACTCTCAGAATTCCACAGCCAGCGTTGCTGGCTGTGGAATTCTGGGAGTTGAAGTCCTCATGCCTTAAAATTGTCAAGTTTGGGAAACACTGAGTTATTTGAAGGGGGGAGTTTTTTGTTTTACTTATTTTTCTCCCAGCCTTTATTAATCAAGTCATGATTAATCAGAAGAGAGGGGAAGCCTCACCCAGGCAGACTGACATCAGCAAAAATGGAACGGACAGGGAAGAATCAAAAAAGGGCATTCACTGACAGACCCAGTTTGATCCAATGGTTGAAGCACCAGACTAGAAACCAGGAGATTGTGAGTTCTGGTTCCGCCTTTGGTATGAAAACTGGCTGGGTGACTTTGAGCCAATCATTAGGAGACTGTGAGTTCTAATCCCGCCTTAGACATGAAAGCTGGTTGGGTAATTTTGGACCAATTACCAGGCGAATGAGCTCTAGTCCCATCTTAGGTACGAAAATTGGTTGGGTGACTTTTGGCCAGTCATTCTCTCTCTGCCCTGCATACTGCACAGGATTGTTGTTGTGGGGGAAAATAGGAGGAGGGAGGAGTATAGGCAGTCCTCGACTTATGACCACAACTGAGCCCAAAATTCACGTTGCTAAGTGGAGATATTTAAGTGTATTTTTGTCTCATTTTACGACCTTTCTTGCCACAGTTTTTAAATGAATCATTGCAGTTGTTAAGTTAGTAACATGGTTGTTAAGTGGCTTCCCCACTGACTTTGCTGGTCAGAAGGTCGCAAAAAGTGATCACATGACCACGGGACACTGCAACCGCCATAAATATGACTGTTGTCAAGCCTCTGAATTTTGATCACATGACCGCGGGGAGGCTACAGCAGTCGTAAGTGTGAAAAATGGTCATACGTCACTTTTTTCAGGGCCGTTGTAACTTTGATCGGTCACTAAACAAACTGTTGCAAGTCAAGGACTACCTGTATTATGTACGTTCACTACCTTTCATTATCTCTAAAGCAGGGGTCCCCAACTCCCAGTCTGTGGACTGGTACCGGGCCACAGCATGCCAGCAACCGGTCCGCACAAACAAGCAAAGCCCCGTCTGTGGGATGCAAGCAGCACACAAAACCACGCACCCTCCGGTCCGTGGAAAAAACTCTCTCCACCGAACCGGTCCCTGGTGCCCAAAAGGTTGGGGGCCTCTGCTCTAAAATAATAAAGGTGGGATAAAAATCAAATAAATAAATTTGCCGTAGAAAGAGATGCTAAGAGATGGGACAGCCACTCACTGATGAAAGGGTGACCGGAGACCTGGCGCAGGATGGCAATTTCTTTGCTGGTGGACAAGCGAACTTCTTCCAGCTGCTGGGGGGTCATGCGCTCCGGGGTTACCTCAATAATTTTTACTGCATACTCCTGGCCCGTCTGCTTGTGTATACATCGCCGGACCACACTGCTTACGCCTCTGAGAATGGGATGAGAATGTTACAGAAGAATCAAGTTTCGAGAAACACTAATGTCCCAGGCAGGAAAAATAAATAGAAGATGTTTCCATCCTTCCGAGCCATTCCATTGCGTCACGTCCCTTCTCCCTTCTAGCCTCACCTGCCAATAATATCCTTGGGGTCGTATTTCTGGTAGAATTCCTTGGCACCAGCCCAGTCTGGAAGCTCGTCATCCAGGCCCACGTCTCGCGTCATTTTACTGCAGGGCTGGTAAACTGCAAGTACCGGCTCAGCTTCTGAAATGCACAAAGAGGCAAAAGGAGACCTGTGTCAAAGCGTTGGATGCTCTCTGGACTCAGCTGCTCCCTGATCTGCATGCACACGTCCAAGAGGAGACCTAGACGGGGAAATCAACCTACGTGGGGGCAGCCTCGGGCCGAGACATTCCAATCCACACATGGCTTTCGTGGTGGACGTCATGGAAGAGACAAAGGAAAAGGACTTAAATTGGACCGAGGGGGACTAATCCCCTCTCTGAAAATTTCATTCAGTGGCAGGATGGATTTCAAGACACACTGTAGCCATCAAGATGCTCTCCCCTACAGTCAAATGGAGCTATAGTTCCTCCTTTGGATTTATGAACAAATAAAAATATAAATCAATCAACATTTTGCAACCTTGTGCTACAATGAGGTAGATTCCCCATTCCTGTGAGCAAATCAGGGCAAAATAAAAAGCCTGATGCATCCCACCCACCCACCCACCCCCCAGAGAGCAAAACTGCCACAAAGATTTGACACACAATCCATATACAGTATAGGAAATAATGGGATTAGAGGCATGACCGAGCAAAGATAATCCCTTTAGAATATTCCACATATACATCAGCCTCTACAATTCCGCATTTTGCCCACAGTCACACCTTCTTCCTATGCCTGCTTTTCCATCCCGATGGAATCCTTTACTTCTAAACCTCGAAGACTCATTTCAGAGCCTCGTTTTAGCCTTATCACAATCTTATAATCTGAATCCAGATCTCCCTTCAATAAGGGTGTAAAACTTGCAGATGTTTCCCTATAATATAAATGTCATAAATTTCAACTGAAATGGGTTATTTTTTTCAAGTAAAGAAGCATAAGCCTGACAGTATATCCAGTGAGGGATCCTTGGTGTTCTCTGAGCTTACAGATGTTTCATTACCCAAACTAGGTAACATCATCGCTGATTATGTTATGTAGTTTGGGCAATGAAGCGTCTGCAAGAAAACAATCAAGTTCAGAGACCACCAAGAACCCTTCATTTCAACCCTGAGCTACAAATATTCTCCTTTATTGGTATTTTAATAGCATGGTAAATCAATTGGCACTGAGAACATTCCACTTACTAGGCTAGCTTTCTCATCGTCGTGCCCTCTGGGGTGTTAGACAATAACTGTAACTGTCAGAATTCAAATATCCATTTTTCACACTTGCTAAGAAATCTATGAATTGTAGTCCAAGATTTCCAAATAATACCAGGAAAAAGGGGAGTTATCCCAAGGCATTCATTGGTTGTGTTGCTGAATCTATAGGCCGAAATTCTCCACAATTTAGTATTAAAAGGGCATTAGAAGGGCATCTCCCATCTCTAAGCGCTACTTACGGGTTTGATAAGAAATGATAGCAAGAACGGGAAGAATTAGCACAAGAAAATTTTACTTATTCTTGGTTCCAATATAGGCAACTACTAGATAGATGGAAGATGGATTGTAAGGTGGGTTTTCTTAGAGAAGATGAAAATCTTATTAAGCAACTTAAGGATCAAAGACAAACCCACATTAAGAGAATTTATGGGGTTTTAGTTGAATTGGACTCAGAAACGGAACTAATTAAAGATTGTATGATTAGATGGGCGCAGAACTTTGGTGAGCCAGTTTCATTGGACACCTGGGAAACTATTTGGGTGAGAAATGTCAAATTTACTCAAGCACAGAATCTAAGGGAGAATTTTTATAAAATGTTTTATAGATGGCACCTTGATCCACAAAAAATGTCTTACATGTACCCTGACGTGCAACCTAAATGTTGGAGATGTGGTTATAAGGAGGCTTCCTATTATCATATTTGGTGGTCATGTAGAGAGATAAAAGCATTTTGGATCAAAATATGGTGGAATATCCAGAGAATTTTTAGAAGGAGGGTAAAATTTACTCCGCAATTATTTTTGTTAGGTATTGTTACAGATTGTGATACAAAGGAGGTTGTATTGATGTTAAACTTGATCACAGCCGCGAGGCTGTTAGTTGGACAATATTGGAAGAAGGAATCTTTGCCTACATTGCAGGAATGGTTTTTTAAAGTAGCTTATCTGGCAGAAATGGCAAAGATTTCGGCTTTCTTAAAGCAACAAACGCAAGAGAAGTTTTTTGCTATCTGGGACAAATGGATAAAATTTATACAATTTAGATTGGGTATACAAAAATACTATATAGTTTTTTCATAAGTTTTATTTTTATATATATTATAGATATCTCTTTTATATATATAAATATAAAGTTTTTAATTTAATTTTTATTTTTTTTTTTTATTTATTTTTTTTTATTATTTCTTAAGCCTATATTCTGCTCTGGGAAGCTCAGGGGGGGGGAAGGGAGGGTTTTTGGGAGGGGTGTGGGGTGGGGGGTTTTTTTTTATATGTATTGTTTAATTTTTTTTTCTTTTGTATATGTTGTTTTTTGTTCTGTATTGTTTTTGTTTTTTTTGTAAAATTTATAAAACTTTTAATAAAAAAAAAAAAAAAAAAGAAAAAAAGAAATGATAGCAAGAAACCTGCTTTTAGGGTCTAGATTCGGTACATAAAGGTACGTCAAAGTATATAAAATCCACAGGATTTTATCTAGAGTATGGCATCGTTTCTATTTTATCTATGCCTTATCACAGACACACAAAACACACACAGATTTGGAGATCTGCCACTTTTTGCAGCACTTGGACCTTGCTTTCTAAGCATATCTATATTACTGGCCTACCTTCCAAGGTTGATGCAAAAATTACTTAGAAATCAGATATCACGCGTGAAGCCATCGGAGCACCTAAGACATAACACAGAAAGCGCTGATTATGCTACAAAACGGGCAGAGGCTGCTCTGCGGCGAAAGCTTCCTCCTCCACCCCAGATTCGCTCAGGCACGACAGAAATGCACTCTGCATGTTCTCAGAAACTAGAGGTTTACATTTCAGGACCGTGGCCTAGCACCGGCAATAGATTCCGGGGTTGAGTGGTTCTGGGTCCCACGATGCCACCAACCATTACCCGCCTATCTTAGCTTATAAGCGCGGTCCGCTCACCTCCTCTTTCTCTCGCCTCTGCGGGGGGACTCCCGTTAGGTAATCGACTCCCGCGCTTCCCGCACGAAAGGGCGCCCCGAGATCCTCACCCGGCGGTGCCTCCGCTTCAATTGACTGAATGACCCCCCCCCCCAACGATAGCCGGCGACTCCCGGGCCCCGCCCCTTCGATCTGATTGGTTCGCGCTCCTTCAATGCTCCGGGGAGTGACCAGAGCGACCAAAGGGATCCGTCCAGACCGGCGAGAACAGCGCCCAGTGGCCAGGCGAACAGAGACGGGAGGGAGGCGGGCTGTCGAAAGGCAGAAGCGAATCAAATAAAGAAGAAGAGGAAAAAGAAGAAACAGAAGAACGGGGATTAAAAGAGGAAGCGCCGTTTCCTACCCGCCACAGGAGAAAGCTCAGCCAATCAGAACGGAAGGTTGCAAGTGTCAGGAGGATGAACCAATCGTCTGCTGGATTTGGATAAGGGAGCGAGAGGAGAGCGGCTTGGTAAACAAACTTTGGATAAAATTAGCCAATCACGAAAGGGAAGGGGCGGGTGCTTGTGCGAAAAGGTTATTCTAGGTTTCACAATCGCCAAAGGAAAGGTCGAGAGGCGGTGGCGGGCGAATTTTCTCACGCCTTTCTTCAAGGCTTGGTCACGTGATCAACACAGGGCAGTGTTACTACACAAACACGCACACATACACAGAAAAGGTACACATCCCGCCCTAGCCGGACCCTCCGCCCGCAGTGCACGAACTTCACAACCTTCTGAAGTAGATTAGGATGGGCAGCTCAAGGTCATGCCCGCTTGTCACGGATCAGCAGCGATCTAAATCTGGGCTTCCTGCTTGATCTGGCCGACTTTCCTCCACCTTATGCTATGCAACTGTGCTGGAGCGGCCCTTGCGTGTTGTTCGGGAATTACGGGAGTTGCAGTCCTAACACATCTAGAGGGCATCAAGGCTGGGGAAGAGCGCTCTAACCACTACACCTCAGTGCAACCTGACTCCTTAGGAAAGCTATGTTGCTATTTTTAATCGTTTTTCATCCAAAAGAGGCTTCTGCTTTCCCGGTTTATCTGTACAACAACCCTCTGAGGTGGACCAGGACTAAGAGAATGAGTGGTCTGAGGTCACTTGAGGGGCTTTATAGATGGGGCAGGATTTGAAGCCAACTTTCCCTCCCCCCCCAACACAAGCTTTGATTCTGCCTTGATCTTTAGGCTGCCATCTGTGCCCAACCTTGCCATCTGTGATATCCACAAGAGGTTAAGAAAAAAAAAGTGCCAAAATAATTCCTGATTAAGATACGGAGCTTTCTGCCCCCTCCTTCAAAGGCAAACTACTTTTGGTACTGTGGGAAGAATCCAGAGAAATAAATATTTTGGGAAATATTAAAAAGGCAGAATATATTTCCCCAAAGGATCTTAAAGGCAGATCCCCCCCCCCCCAAGTCTCTCTGCTCCAAACAGAAACCAGGTCTGCAGAAATGCAGATGTGATAATCTTGTCAGAAAGATTAGAGCCAGGAAACTGGGATTAGAAAAAGATCCCTAGAATCAACAATCCCTCACAACAGTCATCAGCCAGATTCCCAGGGAAGCAGGATATGACCTTTGGGACATAATAGGATTAACCCACTACCATCAGAATATCAGAAAGGCACACTCAGATTCAAGTCAAAGTACATGACACAAGAAATACAAAGCCTCAAACAGGAAGACCTCCAAACAAAAGCCCAAGAAGGTATAAAAACTCACCACTCCCAACCACACGTGGTCAGTTTTTCCCAGAGCCATCTTTCTGTCTGGCTCTCTTCAATAAACCACAACCTTCTTTCTAAAGCAGTCTCCATTTTGTTTATTCCCAGCTTGGACTGGACCTCGGTGAAGATTTTTTTTTTCAACAGTACAAAGGGAGGGTTTCCTTGTGCTCAGATCAGATGGTTTGGATTGAAGCTAATTATAATTTCATGCCACAATAATTCAAGTCATCTGTGTGCCAGATAATTTGACTTCCTCTTTCCAAACTCAACCACTTTCACTGTCAGGGGATTTCTATAATAGGTATATATATATATATATATATATATATATATATATATATATATATATTTCCACCAGGAAAGAACATTTCATGAAACAGAAATACAAATATTTCAGTCAAGTATAGGTGCTTCTGGGAATCCGCATCACATGGCAATCCTGGCTAGGAATGATGGGAAGGGTAGTCCAACATCTGGAATACATCAAATGGAGAAGAATGGTAACAGATGAAATCAGCTGGGCTTCTTAGGTTAAGGAGAACAAATCCTTCTACATTCTCTGTAGGAAAACAAACATGATGTCCACCATTTTTCCCCTTCATGAAGCCAACACAATGAAGGAAGTGCCATCACAAAAAACGCTTCAGTGCCAGCTGAAGAAACCACAGTAGTCAATATGGATTCTGAAAGTCCAAAGTCACCGATCGATGTGGCTCATCATTCTGCTTTAGATATGAGGTAAGACAGGAGGACTAGTAACATGGGGGTCAGAATAAGAAGGGAAACCCAGACAATGATACTCAGGCAAGACATAAGTCGAGACTTCCGAGCCCAGTGATATGCTGCATTCTGGGAATGGGCCTTTTGCTTCTCATTAGCCTAAAGATGCAAAAAAACAGCTTTGTTATTCACTCTGATGTAAAGTAAGGACACCAGAAAGCATTAGTTTTAAAGAAAAAAAATTCTTAGCCTAACTTTTCATACATTACCTGCTGAAATGCTTAATATAGGTCTCAGAATTCTTGCCTTCTCTTCCCTAGTTAATTGCCATGTTTGTAAAACACACTGAATCACAAATGGTCCATTCACACATCAGCTGAGCATGCTGGGTCAGAGCCTATGTTTAGTTTATGACTCCTTGTATCATCAGAATCAAAACATTGGATTCAATCAGGGAATTTTCACTCAGTTAACCATTGGTAACCATGTCACGCAGATGTCCTTGGCCTGTATTTCTGCATATTGATCCTAAATCTAGAGTCCAGATAAACACACAAAGCTCAATATGGCAAGGGCCTCCTTTTTTCTCAGGTAAGATATCAAAATATGAGGTTGAAGTTTCGTTCCTCAAGCTTGTGGGTTGGTTTCGTTACCAGGCTAGGTAACGTCTTCAGCAGCATTTAGGGCAGAGGTCCCCAACCTTCTGGGCACCAGGGACTGGTTCCATGGAGAGGGATTTTTCCACGGACCGGAGGGGGCATGGTTTTGTGTGCTGCCTGCATCCCGCAGATGGGGCTTTGCTTGTTTGTGCAGACTGGTTGCTGACATGCCACGGCCTGGTACTGGTCCATGGACTGGGGGTTGGGGACCCCCTATGTCAAATGAGGATCTTGTGATGGATCAGGTGTGAGTCATCAGAGAGAGGCTTGTGATGGGTCTTGTGATGTCAGGGTTGTTGGAGGGTGGTGACACCTGACCCCTCACAAGACCTTCACTTGACACACACCATACCTGAAGCCCTTATAAACAGAGGAGCGCTGACACACACACATAAGCCCTACACTCCACTGAAGATGTTACCTAGCCTGGTAACGAAACGTTCGGAAATCAACCCACAAGCTCAGAGAACGAACCTTCGCCCTCATCCTACACCCGAGCTACAGATATTCGCCACTATTGCAAACATCAAAATAGGTTCCCCTTATGTTTACAAGACCAGCTCTAAAGATTTGCATTCTACCCACTCCTTATCTTTAAAGTCAATGCCTCCAAGGCTTTTCATCTGCTCCCACCTGGCAAAGAGGCTGGTAGGGATTTTCCAACCACCTGAGCCCAGCCAAGACTTTCCTTTCCTGCAGGCATTGCAGAAGAGCAGTGTTGGTCTCAGGTGGGAAAAAAAAAAGCCTAGAAAGACTCAGGTAGCACCTTCTTCAACTCACAAAGTTGATTAAAAGGCCCAAGCTTTGGCAAGCTGCTCAAGTAAAACGGGCAGGTGACATGTCTTAAGCCAACTTGAATTGTGAGCGTGGGCAACGTGTTTGGGTGTTGTGATGCCAAGAAAATCCAGTTTTATCCAATTTGGAGTCATTTATCCAGGTTGGGGCTAGAGTAATGAAGGCTTTCAATGGGGGGTGAGCAAAGGAGGGGTAACTAGGTTGGTGACCCGGATGCAGGTTAAATATGAGACCCATTACGTATTTCATGCAAAAAAAAATTAACTTTTCATTAAAAATTTAAAATAAAATTATGTTTAAAGAAAATAACATTACAGGTCAAATGGAAACATAGAAACATAGAATCATAGGGCTGGAAGGGACCTTCTAGTGCAGGGGTAGGCAACCTTGGCTTTTTTATGACTCGTGGACTTCAACTCCCAGAATTCCTGAGCCAGCATGGCTGAGCTTGGAAACCTCTCCCTTTCCCCTCAGCATGGCTGGCTCAGGAATTCTGGGAGATGAAGTCCACAAGTCATAAAAGAGCCAAGGTTGCCTACCCCTGGTCTAGTGCAACCCTTATAACCTCCTGGATAAAAGGAGTCTTTTCTTGAAAACCTCCAGCAATGGAGCACCCGCAATTCCAGGAGGCCAGCCATTCCATTGATTATTGGTTCTCTGCTATCAGAAAATGTCTCCTTACTTCTAGGTTACTTGTTTCTCTCTTTGATAGGTTTCTTTGAGAAACACTGATTTATAACTTTCCCACAGTGTGAACTAATAAAAACAAGTCAACCTGACCTTCCAAGTACAATTGTACCTTCCAAGTACAATTTCCCTTCTTGTCATGGATGAACATAAAAAAATTAGCAAGATTGGAACTCCAGGGAGGCGTTAACAGATTGAATGGCCACTGAGCATTTGAGAGAACAAATATACCTGTCCCAGGATAACGTTGCAGGATCCGAACTGGGTCGGTCACCGTGACCTGAGGTTTTGTCTTCCGAGCTTTCGGACTCGTCCTGCAGCCCCAATTCTCAGGGAACTTCTTTCTAGACACACAACTAAGTTGCTGAAGAAAAGTCAAAAAGCAAAGAAGTTCCCTGAAGATTTGGCTCTAGCACGAGTCCAAAAGCTCGTAAGACAAAACCTCGGGTCCTGATTACTGACCCAGATTGGATAGTAGTAGTAGTAGTAGTAGTAGTAGTAGTAGTAGTAGTAGTAGTAGTAGTAGTAGTAGTA